TAACAAGTAGAACTGAATTTTTCACCTAAGCGAAGGGGAAGAAGGACGAGAAGAAAAACGTTGCATCAATCACGATGTTGCGTATTTCTCTGTTGATACGCTCGTCATTAGATCACCGACGTCATAACTCATGTCCAACTTTTCATCTGGTTTGCTGACAAAGTAACGGTGGCAGATATCGCGCTTTTGCTCTCGGGCCATGAAGTTGTACGAGAGATAATATGTCAATCTTGTCGTGGCAGAGCAATCGGTCTCTCGGCAATTTTCAGACGTAACTCCTAATAGCGAATGCATCTGTGTGTGTGTGTACGTGTGTGTGATGCTTCAAACACAACTTTCGAGAAGCTCGCTAGAAAAGAAATCTCTCCACGGCGAATACTTCGCTTGGGGTTCTAGGGCTTTGGTAACGAGGGACGAGAATACTCGAAAGGAATTTAACACCGTTAACGTGTTAGAATATACACGGAAACTCGAGGGAAAAGTTTATATCTTGCGAGAAATTTTCCACGAGGCGGAAACAGCTGAAGTGGATACAGCGGGTATTTTAAAACAATCACGCTTCAATTTACACATTTTCAACGAAATCTGATCTCGAGTGTCTGTTCTCATCCTGATTTATAGCGTGGCCTCCTCGATGGTAGTACCTTTTTGCCACTTTAGTAAACGCGATCTGATTTCCTACCCAACACACAATTTTCTCGCGCTGCCAACCGCGAGGTCGATACAAATATTTGAAAATTCCTCTTTAATGCTTCTGCTGCTTATTACGTGGAGGAGAAGAACGTGTTTCAATAGTATCTCGGGATCTATTTGCCCGGGAAGAATAAACTCGAAACTAGAGAACAAAGATTCGGATTTTAAATATTCTCGAACGTAAACGTTCAACTTCGTTCTGCTTGCAGAGCTTGTTTAAATTGAGGTTTCTCGTTTTCAATGAAAATCTCAGATGAAGAGGTATAACTATTCGATTAATGTTATTTTAAACATTAAATTATTCTAACAAATTATTCTACAAAGACGTCGTACAATGCACACTCTCGTCCTTTTTCCAAACAAACACTGTACTGTTATTGTTCGAACGACAACAACTTGGAACTTCCGTTTCTTTTTCTATTTGTAAACACAAAACTCATCTCTACGATAAAAGATACGTCCATATGTATACAAATATCATAATAACCAAAAAAGGACCTCGTCCTTTTCTTCCTTGGCTCTTCAATTATTTCCACTGCTATTGAAAGTAAGAAACTTTTCTGTTTTTTTATAAATCCACGTTGTAGCGAACGTCAGGACGGGGTCAATGACCTATGACATCACAATCTTGGAACGACTTTGAATGATGTAAAAATAATTTTAAAAATATCGACGACCTTAGGGGGATTTTGTTTTTTTGATCATAAACTCCTTTTAGTCGTGATTTCTTGCTTTAAATAGCAGCAGAAATAATTTCAGTTACGACCAGATTTTCATAAAACTCTAGAGGATACAGTCGTTTGAGGTGCAACATAGTTTTATAAAAAGTCGAGGAAAAATGAGTAAGAAAAAAAGTAGAAGCACCCTTGATAAGACTTCCTTCGTAATTACTAACGAGAAAAAGTATTTGGCTAAAAGCTAAAATGGCGAATTTTTTCGCGAACTCAGTCTGCAGGAGTATCTTGTTAAAGAAAGACCACTGGTCTTTTGAGTTTCATAGCTGATTTTTCCTCTTTATACACCGTCTCGCTCTTATTAATCAGTATGAGGAACACGTCTTCGTCTTTGCTTTTGGACACGTTAATTGAGTCAGCACAGTTTCGACATTTCTTCCTTTCCCCCCGAAAGTTGGACGCCCTATATACGATCTCGTGTGGTCTAATGAAAAAAGTTTCGGATCTCCTTAATTCTGGAAAGGTAGCATTAGCATTAATAACGTATGCCAAACGCATCTCAGGGATACACGTTTACCTCGTCCTCTCTCATAATCCTTGTGACCAAATATTCTTCGTCATTTTCTGACGAATCAAACTCACCACTGATTTAAATGGAAATTCAAAGAATTTAACTCGAGTGCTGTCTTTGGGTCTTTCTTGACCCATCGCCTTCTTATTTTTTTAATAACTTTTACTGTTGTCAAATTTACGTTTCTTTAACATTATATTAAATATTTATTCTCTAGGTTCATATGGCGCGCTAGGGTCTCTTTTGGCCCAAACACCTTGTGTATAGTAGAACAAAAGACCAAAGAAATTGTACTACAAATTGCAAACTAACGTGATTCGAAATGAACGTCCCTTGTTTCTCTATCGCGATGTTTTATCAGTCAGGGCAACATCGAAGCGAATACCGAAGTGAAAGAGAAAGTCAGAAGAAATTGGTACAGCGAAAAGAATAAAATTGCCGAAGGAAATGGTTACAATAATTGCTCTATTTGTCGAATAAGAAGACTAACGTTCGAACGTTAACACCTCAGACAACCTACATCCCCCTAAATTTCGCCCACTCTTTCAAACCAGCTGTCCTTTTCTTACCCTGCAAAACCTCTGGGGGGCAGTTCACTCGAATGTTGTGCACGCTTCTGTGATTTATGCCTGTACACATTCCTACCCGGCCTCCGGGCATTCAAGCCTCCACAATGTAAGTTATGTCGCGTAGTATCAGTAAGGATGAAGATTGTAAGCGAAGGAGGTGGGAGAGTAAGTGAAAAAAGGGAATTGAGTCGTTTGAGTTTATTTCTCCGGTGGGTGAAACAAAGCTCCTCTATTCTGCTAACCCTCGACGGGCTAACTGGAGCTTCTGATGCTTGGAGGTTCGCGTGAGAATCTTATCGTCAGAGATCGATATTAAAAATAAAAAGAAACTATGAGAACATCTTTTTTTTTTTGCGTGGAAAAAGAGAAACCAGTGAGAGGTATTCTCTTTTTCTCTTTTTCTTTCTGGTTGCATGAATTGAAACTATCGTGCAACGAAACAAGGAAGATAGAAGCATCGATTTTATCATTGGATATTTTTAAAGAATATCAAGCTCGAACGATAGCAGGCAGCCGGAATGCACGAAACAAATAAGAGGACAGGAAGTAAGTGAGAATAAGACGTTGAACGTCGGACGAGAACGGAAGGAAGACAGAAAGAAGAAACTAGTTCACTGGAGTTTATTTTTGGGTGACTGAAGCAGAATACGCTTTTACAGCGAATTCTAGTGTGCACTGTGTACACTCTCGTTCAGAAGTATCGGGACACTTATGGAACGTGAAATCTGAACAGTTATTGCGAAATTATTAAAATTTGACAAAATTATTCCTCACATTTTGATAAGTTTCTAGAAAAAGGCAATAATTAAATTTTGCTTCTTTCTTAAAAGTCGACTTCTCTAACAGTGTTTAGAGAAGTGACGATACTCTGGTGAAAAAATGTAGCTTGTCAGATAAGAAATGAACAAAAAGTCGATACAAAAGAAAGATTAAAATTAAAACACTTTTAGCACAAAATCAATACACGTTCAACTGTGTACAACAACTTTTATCGCGCCTTTGAATGGAAATACATTTTTTTGGTGAAACTCCATCTGAAATTGGAAGGTGACAAAGCGTAATTGCTTTTTCATTAAAAACCTCACATCCCAGCTATTCCCTGTACAAATAGAACTAATTCCAGCGTTGAGAGATGCGCGTGCATGGAAACCATTAATGCGGTATTACAAGTTCTAAAATTCAGTTTTGATTTCGCTTGTATACCTCCCTCCCTTTGAACCGATTCGTAATTACACCGAGTACCTACCTACTCTGCTAACTTCTTTCTGTGGCATTTGCTCCCAACTACTGCTCGTACCAGTCATAACTTCTGTAAATACCTTTCCGTAACGATCATTCGCTCTATGAGAATCACAGGGATGATCCTTTAATATCCTTCGATATAAATAATCCTCTCGCATAGAAAAGTAGGCTGAGTAGTATTGAGAAGAGGGATAAGAAGAAGCGTATAAAGGAGAAAATTAATTTTCTATTCCCTCGATGTTATTTATCAGCATGACGATTATAAGGAAACACGGACTGAACTCCCTGACGGCAATAATTCGACGCAAAGGTGGATACGCGCGTTTGCCAGATGGGATGGAAAATGTGGGAAATTGCACTTGCAGTGAAACGAGGAGTGTAATTTACAGCAGCCAGGGAGCGAGGCCACTGTAACCTAGACGTTCCTATGAGTACAGGCCTCGATGGCCTTGCATTTTCAACTTGAGTATCTACGCCTACAGCGACACAAGTAGCGCCTGGAGAAGCACAAAAAAAAAAGAGAGAAGGAAATGTGTTTTCAAAGCCTCTAGCTCGTCCATAAAACAAAGGAAGTTTTTCCGGAGGTCGAGAAGCGACTAAGGTAAAAGATGCGTTTCTCTCCCTCTCGCGCGCGCTATTATGAAGGGCTAATTGCCTGCGAAGTAATTAATTCTATCGTGAAATTTCAAACGAGAAGGAAAAGGTGAAATGGAAAGTGTGCTCTAACGTGTGTTCATAACTTCAGATCGATCTGTTTGCGTAAGAACGACGGTAATTTAAATGCCCGGCGCAGTTGCGTAATTTTTGCAGATGAACAAATTTTCAGTTGTTTAAGAAAGTTTTTAAATCGAGGATTTTTTTGGTAGGTTGAAAGGAATTAGATTATCGTAGTGGCAACATAAACGTAGGGAAGAAGCATGCTTTCCGACTGGGGAATTTACACTCGGAGAAGCTGGCTAAGAGCAGGAAAAGAAAAGGCTCTACAAAGTGCTCCATCTAGAAACTGAAATTTCGTCGCAGATAAAAATGTTTGCTTTGAAACTTCTAATAAAGCTCGCAACGAGTGTATCTTTCAATTACCGGGCTCTAATTGCTTCCCTTTAACGATTAATCGTCGACCGAGTAATTAGAGATCTTCCGAGTGGTTCTATGAAATTTTCAACGTCGAAAATGAAGCTTCTCGACGAACCGCGGAACGTTATTCGAGAAAAATGCGCTGTAATTCGAGAAATCTACGAGGCGTAAACTCACCTAAAGGATGTCACCAGTACTGGCAGCTCTCGTAGTTTTCGTCAGTGGTCCCAGTTGTCTGTTCTGATCTTGACCTCTCCGAGGTTTGCAGTAAATGATTTTCCGGAAGGCTTTCCGAAAACTGTCACTGAGGAAGGCGTAGAGAATAGGATTGACGCAGCTGTTCGTGTACGCCAAAATGTGGCTCGCTATTTGCAGCATTATCGTCGCCGACGTCAATGGATACACTTCCAGTGATTTCGTCACCAGGATCACCTATTGTGAAACGGGCACAATGTACACATGGAAAATGTTATTATCGATAATGAATCGCGAACTGGGAAAAATTGCAAGGAATTCGCAATTATAGGAGAAATTTCGAAATTGCGATATTCTCAGTGACGGAATAGAATTTGCATATCTATTTCTTTCTTCCCGAAAACGGAAAGTAAAAAAAATAACTAAATTTATTTCGCGCGAACTAGGTCGCTTATAACCAACGGATGAAAATATTCCTTGGAAATCCAGCGAAAAATCCGTTTTACGAAGGACGATCGATGATCGCGCGTGCAAATAGGAATTAACGCTGAACAGGAAGAACAGAAAGTATGCCGCTGACAGCTCATTTCGTTAATGGCTATATCGCTATTAAACGTACCGAAAAAGATCACCCGATAGTCCCCTTAATTTTTCGGACGAATTATAGCCGCGGTCGGTTTAATGGTTCTACTTGCAAAATTAATGCAGAAATATATACGCGACGGATAAAGTTGTACGTGAAAAATTTCAATTACACGGTTTATTTCAATTGTACATTTATCGCTCTTAATTCGTGTATTATTACTTCGTTAAATTTTTATTCAACAAAGAGGTCGATAATGTCGCAGGAAATGTAGGATCTGGTGAAACACGATTCGTTTTATTTCGCAAACGTATCAAAAGTTTCAAAATAACACATTCTCCAATGAAAATATTTCCCACTGGAAATTGAATAAACGCAATTGAAAAGGATGCACACCGCAAGCGTAAGAAATACAAAGCTCGCTATGAAATAGGCGACAAATGAATCGTAAGCGAAAATGCACAGCGTACTCTACTTGCAAGCACAAAAGAACGAAAACCATACTAACTGAAAATCGGAAGACATATTTTCGCGACTTTATACCACACCGATTCCCTTACTTTCTCCGATACAATTCTCAAGACACTGTACACGGCCAAAAGGGAATGGAATATTTCAACACACGCTCTTTGTTTCTGCTTTAAACAGCTTCTATTGGATAAATTAAAGAGAAGCTCGCGGTGAAGTATCGGACGAAGCACAAGTTTCACATCGCTGTTTCAATTAACATTGATTAACTCTATTATCTCCATTATCTGGTAGTAATAAAATTACAAAGAAAACTAACAGCATTGTTCGTCGGTTGATAAACCTCGTTCCGATAATCCCCATTATTCCCCGCCAGGAACATACTAAATTACCGAATTTCACCGCACAATTTCCTTTCGCGATTTGTCTTCCATCTCCATTAGCACCGAGTAGCGTACCAGTTAATTACATCGCGCCCGTGTCGCTCGTAAATTTTTTCCATCGAGAAGTATCCCTCGAAATTGTCGTACGAAATACACCGATGCCGTTCAATTCCCTGGTCACCATTTTCGATTGACACGGGCCAGTGATTTGTACGATAGGAACAGTCGTGATCTTCCGGACAAATTATTGGCACGATCGTTTCCTCCAATTTACACGTTACACCGCGTAACAATGATCAACGTGCTCGTAAATATTTTCGAACGATTCGAATCAACGAAACGTTCCAGCAAAGTGTATTAAGCGATAGAAGAATTAATGTCAATATTTTTTTATTAGTTGCTCTATTATTATTTGACGAAAATTTGTGTTCGATGAAAAATGAGCTTGGAAAAATTCACGATTTTTTCGCTCCCCTGTCGGGAGATATTAAACAACCTTCGCGGAGACAATTAAATCGCATTGACTTGGAGGATGTGGTTCCGCCACAGCGAGACAATCGATTCGTTACGATCGAAATTCAGAGGCAGAATTATCTCACGAAACAGGGAAATTAATTCACCTCCAGGATTATAAAATTTCACGCTATTGCATTATTTTCCTTGCTGCGTGGAAATTAAGCAACACACCGACAATTCTCGAAGACGCGATTCATCAGGTTATTCGTGCGTTGAATTAAAAAAGACAAAAGTGGTGGTCATTTTTCCAATATCGTCTTTCACGTGTAATTGCAGTAAATCGAAGTTTATATTGAAATAAAGAAACCGAAATTAATTAATTGGAAAAAAAGAACATCCCAAAGCTTTCCTTGGAAAAGAGTTTTGGTTAGATTCGTAGATCACACTAACCTGTATAGGACACCAACAAAAGGCGAAAACGCCAACGACGACGAGTACCAGCCTCGTCGCTCGTCTTCTTCCACGTCGACTTTCGGCACTGACGCGATCTCCGCGCCACAGTCTGATGAGCATGCAAATGTAAAAGAAGCATATCAGCATCAGTGGCAGGACGTAGCTGAAGAGGAAGAACGATATCTGGAATAGCGGCCAATTATATTGTTGTAGGATTCGACAAGCTGTCAGGTTCTCCGACAACGAGTCGTCCACGTCCTGAAATTAAAACGAATCTACATATATAAGGGAGCAGTTCTCGGCTGTAGTTGTATGGAAAAATTTGAAAAAAATCGAAAAACAATGTAGCATCGATGGAATCAATTATAAATATGGAAATCATCGACTACGTTGAACATCGAGAAATTTTTGTATATTTTCTACGTAGATCGATCTACTTTCAGTTTGGTCCTGAAGATTTGATCTTCAATCTAAAATCTTCACTTCGAGATATTATCCAGAAGGTTTACAGTTTGATAAATCTATATCACAGTAAATTTTCGTAGCTTTTCATAAATCACGAGAACACTCTCTCGTCCGATTTCGAAGAAAAGTTAAGGCAATTGCTGTGACTAATTCAACGAGTCAATTTTACGTAACCGAGATTTCGATTCAGTGCAAAATCTGTGCTGATGGCGCGTATAAAATGTACATTATGATTTGCAATTCTGCACCATGTCAAATGGCACGTGTTATACAGGCAAACCTAAAATACGACAGAGCTATAATCATCGAGCGATCACGGCGAGGTAGGAATGGTTATTTCTACCATTTCCGCTAGTAGACTCGCGGAAAATCGTATAACTTGCAACAATGAGCCGTGTATTCGAGGAGATACCGATGAAATTTCGCTAAAACCTGCGGAATCGGGATTTCGTCGACGCTTACGCGAATCCTGTTAACTTGCAAATTATTTACAATTATTTAGAATTGTTAGCACAGTTGCAGCACGATGCACGCGAATTATGATCGATTGCATGATATATCGCGTTCAAACAACGTAGATCTACTTCATACACTGCATAATCTAACGAAAGATAGATGTAAACAAGGAGAGTATCGCGTGACGGAAATTCGAAATACAGCAAAATTTGGGAGCAATATTATCACGTAGAAATTAAGATCTAGATCGTAGTGTAAATAAATCATTCGTGAAACGGTGAATTGAAAAATGTTGAAAGATAAATTATCGAGGATTAAAAATATTTGATTTATGGTAACTGAGAAAATTTATAAACGAGAAGAATATTGCGCTTTTAAATTGAAAAATATGAAAGATAAATTCTCGAGGATTAAAAATACTTGATTTACGATAACTCCGGAGAATTTAGAAACGAGAAGAACATTGCGCTCTTATGTTTACAAAGTTTTCGTAGAAAATGTTCAGAGCCATGAACGATTACGGCTGCCAGGTTGGCTGAGTTCGTTTCATCGGAGAAGTAATTATAGTGAGAACACTCACTGGGGAATTACTGAATAGATGGCATCGGCGAATTTTCCTCCTATCCACTCCAATTTTGCAGTACCATTAACGGAATATTATTTGAAAAGGGTTAATCTATCTTGTTATCAATTTTAATCTTTTCATCGATCGCTTCGTTCTCGAGCGTTAATTAACGGCGATTCGTTAAATAACAGATAAACGATTTCTATCGTCCGCCTTCGTTCGAATATGCGTATATAAACAACTGAGAAAAAAGAAAATACCCGTTCTTGCGTGCGTACAAACGAAAAGAGCAGGCCGAATTTTTGAACGTAGTGGCTCTTAGGATAATCGAGTTCTTAAACATTTTACGATACCGAAAATCCGCGCTCGTTGAGCGTATCGATGCAATCGATAACAAATAACTGGATTGTGAAGGAGTCAATCAAAAAGACTACCAGCCAGACAGAATTTTTCGCGTTCGTTCAATACAGCTTGAGCAAACCGAATCAGCGCGTGCATAAAAAACTGATAGAAATATCCTATCTAAAGTATCGGATCCAATTCCAATGTTCAATCACAGGAAGGCATTAGAATAGGAAACTACTGTATGTAAAATGAAACAGTAATCAAGTAAGGATTGCTACTGAAAATACACCGACTGTCGATTACTGAAATATCGATTCCAGAAACGTGAACTATGACAGTGATACTACCGGAGAAATGAATGAAACTTATGTGTGAAATTCTATTAGATACTTCCATATGCACTTCTATTTAATTCACGATATGGAGATTATTTGCAAGTGTGACTTACCTCGCCGTGAACGAAGAAAGCAGGGAGGGAAACTGCAAAGATGATCGTCCAGGCGATGCAAATTGCAACGATCGCGTGATTTTCAGTCCGCCATGACATCGAACGAATTGGATGAACTACCGCCAGATATCTGCAACAATTAACATACAATTCTTCCTCGTATCATTCGCTTTCAAATACAGAGCACTCGAACGTCTCATCTCAGAAATTAAAAAACAAAATCTAAAAATAATTGCATAATATGTACAACGTATATTTGCTTTGGAAACAACTGGTGTATCGTATAGAAAACAAAATGAAGACAGTGTGGTGAGTCATAGGTGCTAATTGACTTGGATAGAAGCCAGTGAATTGAATTATACACAGGTTATCGAGGGACTCGCGCGATTAACCTAGTTATTAATCGCAAGTTCGTGATTGGCAACCTATGCCAGATATATAATTCTCTTTTGCTACTGTGCAAATCTAACAAATATCGAAATTTCTTCGACACGTGGAATTAAGAAACGTTGCCGGTGATCGATGGATAGGGGAAGGCTGAACACGTAGCGCAATTTGGAAAAAGCTTATGAGAAATAGAAAAGGAATGTATGGTATATTTGAAGAGAAAATCAAGATTTTTTCGCACGTATTACATCTGCAGGCATAACACATGATTCTACAGTCAGTGCACTATACGATATCTAGGAAACGTAACCGGAAATACTGCTGATATTTATGAGGCAAGAATGGCTCGCACCTTCCCATGTTACGTAGAGAATCGAATTCCGTTGTGTAACATCATTCTTCGAATATGTATTCGCAAATGATCGCCAAATAATCGTTTCATTTCCTCTTAAGTATCACGTACAGTGGAAATTATGTGTAGAAGATTTCTATACCGATCTATAATAGTATCGAAGAAACGAAAATTTCGCGAATTTCCATATTTTCCGAATTATCGTTAAAAGTATTGGACTGATAGTGTTTGATACTTTGCGTCACTTTCAAAAGGTAATATCTAATTCTGAAAATATCGAAGGGTAACATCAAATACTTTGCGTCACTATCAAAAGGTACATAATACTGAAAGTATCGCACAGGTAACATCAAATACTTCGCATTACTTTCAAAAGATACTATCTAACCCTGAAAATATGGAAAAGGTAAACACGAAATACTTTGCATCACTTTGAAAAATCGCGAAAGTAGGTAAAATGGAAGTGAAGAAAATGAAACACTGAATAATTCATGCATCTGCAAAATGCGAAAGCGTAATCATTGATGCAGTCCGGGGGATGGATAAAGGTGGCGTTGCGTGAAATTGAAACTCACCTATCGAGGCTCATGAGGACCAATGTGTAGACGCTGGCATAGGCAGTGACAATGATGAGGTACTGCACCATCTTGCACCAAAAATTGCCGAAGGGCCAAAAAGGTAGCACGAAGTCGGTCGCGGTGAATGGAATACAAAAAATCACGAACAACAGATCTGCCACCGCCAGGTTGATGATTAGGATGTTTGTCGTCGATCTCATATTTGGATTCGCCGCGACAACAATAACAACCAAAGAATTGCCAACCAGTCCAAGGATACCAATCATACCAAAAAAGATCGGTACCACCACCACGACGATCTCCTCCACTTGTTTACGATCGGAACTATCATCGAAAATATCGTAAAAATCCTGAGTCTCGTTGTTCTCCATCGGATTCGAGATGTTTGTTACATTTTTAATCACATTGTCCCAAGTGTTCTCCATCTCTTCGAACATCATATATCACGTCCGGCGATCGTTCCAAGTGAAAATCGTCCTCCAAAGCGGGATTTTGTAGGAATTTAAGCTGCTAATTAATCTCTTGAGTCTGTATCGAATAACACTTTTTACAAGTTTCCATCGAATTTTCTTCTTAGGTAAATTTCATCTTAACAACGATCTTCTTCGCGTTAAAGATCTTTTCTTGATCTACTTGTTTTAACAGTAATTATATCGCGTTCGTAAGTAGCGTTAGGTATCTCTGTTTCTTGGAATTTGTCTTGATTCTTGGAAATTTTCAGAATTTCGATACATCGTCGATTTTCGTGCTTTCTCTTCGTAGATCTGTAAAGGAAAACCATTCACGATTCAGTATATTTCACTGTCCTGAATTTCCGAGTGTTTTTTCTTTTTTTCAACGGATGCTTGAAAGAATGTTGTAAGGATAATGGAAATACAGCGAGTGTAATAAAATTGCCTTTCCAAGTGGACGTTCTGTGACGACTTGAAGCAAATCTCTGAAACTTGGAGTAATATTTGAGAGAGGGTAAAACAAATACGGATAAATCACAATGCAATTTTGCTTATCCGGTAGAATCGTTTTGATTACTTCCAGCGACTAACGACCAGCTTAAATTATCCAGAAGCGTGAAGCTTAAATTGAATCAAGACAGACAGCGTTCTGATTCGGATTTCAGATTCAAAAGTTTCACAAATATACATATCAGACCTAGATCTCTACTCGTAGAAAAATAGATATACTTCGGAAATTAAAATAAGATCGTAGAATCAAACTTTTTTTCTTTCCAATGCTGTGTCCCAAGTTGATCAATTCTGTTAGTTCAATATTTATCACACTTCTTTTTGAAACAAAACGATCTGTTTTTCTTTTTTAATAATCGTACTTCAAGATGTCACAGAAACACCTGAGCTCTAGACAAAATTACTCGAATTCTGTCACATCTGAATTGAATAATTTCAAGTGAATCAAGAATAACTTAATCTGTGCAATCAAACGCTAGTTTTTCGATAAAACGTGGAAGAGAATTGAAAAAAATACACTATCTAGAACTAGAACGATCTGAAATTTAAAAATTCTAAAAAACGATGCAACATAAATACATTTCTATATTTTCCGACATATTTCTTCACGTAGAATTTTCTAGTTAATAAAAATAATCAAGTGAATTCCACGAAAAAGTATCAAAGCCGGTGATTTTCTGTTTTTACAACATTCACACTCCTTTTTTGCACTAATCTCATTTCACTTGGGTAAAAATTAATAAATCTCGCCGTGAAAGTAGAAGACAAAAGGAGAAGGAGAAACAAAAATGGACCCATTTTGGATCGTGTTTAACTGGTCGCAGTGGCTTATCGAAATTCAGGTCACGTTGAGAGCACGTGCGATCCCCACTTTCGTGCTTCCGTTAAAAGAATGCTGTATTTAGCTCTTATTCTTATTCAGATAAATATAAATAATATAAATTCAATATGAACGCCAGCTCGAAATATTATTAAGCAAAGTGGTGAGAAATTTATGGTAAAAGCGTTCACTTTATGTGCAACATGTAACATCAAATTACTCTAGGAGTCGAGGTAAAGTGCTACCTAGACATAAACATCACCAAAATAAAAAGGAAATAGCAGATATTATTACCCGCTCAATTTCTTTCGTGCCTTAAATTTGAAAAAAAAAAAACATGTGCATCGATACAGATCGCTTTAGTTGCGAACATTTATATTTTAGAATGATAAAATTCTAGAATTATGATAATATGTTACTTGGAAAATCGAACTGCACCAATTTATAAGGTATACGTTATTTAATAAATTTCGAATTGCACCGTCTGTCGCATACTGTAAATTAATACACGTTAAAGCTAATATGTAATTTTCTATTAAATTATAGTTCATTGAATAACACGTCACGATGGAAATGGAAATTTGTAATAACAATTTTAGATAATCCTAGGACAAAATGAAGCGAAAATAATAAGGAAAAATATAGAGGAACTTTTATATACATTATACGCATCTGTTATTCGAGATACACATTTTATTTCTCTACTCTGGAGCATACGTAAAAAATGATGGTGCTCCAGCTGACGACATTCTTTTACCTCGCTGTTCACTATACTTCTAAAAAAGAATCACAAATTTTAATTCGTGCCACGTTGCTTCACCTCTACCTATAATTTTTTCTTGCATTTTGTCCTACAGTCAGTATTAGTTTAAATAATAAAACTACGAATTTGAATCATAAAGCAGCTTTGTGTGTTGTAAAAAGAAAGGAAAGAAAGTGTAACAAAATTACGTATCTTTTATGTACAAATAGAGTACACTGTACGGATTCAAATATAAAGAACCTTTCCTTTCAATTCGCACACTCATTTTCGCGTACTGAATCCCTTTTCATAATAGGTTTTTCTTCTCTTTCTATTTTCCTCCCTTAGCGTGCGTTCATGCTTAACTTTAGTGGACCAATTTTTGGAGAATAAAGAATTTTTAGAAAATTGAAAATTTTCACTAATCCACGACTATCACGTTAAGATTCAACAAATTTAATCTTTTCTCTTCGGGCAAAATTCTCCTTTCTAGTTTCCTCCCATGCCTTCACGTGTAACTTCAATGGACCAATTTTTGGAGAACAATGATTTATAGAAAATACAAAATTTTCACTATTACCATGACTATCACGATAAGATTTGATAAAAGTCATTTTTGAGGGGAAAATTCTCCTTTCTTTCTATTTTCCTCCTCTGCCAAGCGTTCACGCGTAATTTTAACGGACCAATTTTTGGAGAACTATCACGAGAAGATTTGACAAATTTGATAATTCGCTGGAGGGAGAAAAGTTCGCGTTTCGTCGCTCGAAAGACAAAAGATCATCGTTACAACACGTGGATTGATGTAACACTATTACCACATCTCGTCTGACCCATTGATGAAATTTATGATGATCTTCAATTTAATTACCTTCGCCCTCACGTGCTGATATCGAGGGGGGTTTAACGATCCTCCGCCCCTCCTTTTAGCGGATTAAGGCTTATAAGGCGTAACTGATGCAGATAGATCGATTCATGATTGGTGGCCCAGCCGCTGCTAATTGTCGCGAGATCTCGCTTGGCGAATATCTTCTTGAAGAGTATCGTTGAAATAATTTCCCTGCTGATACCATGATGAATCGAGAACACCTAAACGCATGTTTCTTTCAACACTAAATAATTCGGGCACAATACTGTTTCACACCCCAAGAAAATGATCTCACTCTATTACCACATATTTCATTCGCATGAAGCATTCATTTACGAACGATAGCGAAAATTTTCGGTGATTTATTAGAACGCGATGATCACGTGTCTACTAGCTGATTGGTTTATCCCAGCACGTGAAATATAGAAAAGTAACTTCGAACGTAACTTCAAATTTATAAAATTTCCATGGTTTCCTTTTTTTTTTTATTTGAATGGAACGACGACTTCAATCAACGATACTTTCCCCCTCTTTGTTTTCTTCTCGTTAATAAAGAATTTCGATTTAATGAGCGCGTTAAACACGAGAATATCAAGCAGCTTGCATTCGGTCTCGCACTTTTCTAGGTCACGGTTCCTTGATCGTTCCTTTCGTTGCAAACGATGGATGTTAAACTTAAAGAAACATTGCGTCGAACCGTTCGTGAAATATTACGAATATTTTCACACTTCTTTGCACAACTGTCACCACTCGGAATCAGAATTATATCATTCAACTCTGTGTTATCCCACGAAACTTCTCTGACACATTCTGCTCGTTAAGTGATTTTTAATGACGCCGTAACAATAGAACGACTACAACGTATCTCGCACTTCGACAAAAGTAATTCAAGCGGACCTCAGAGAAGTTACACTTACGTTGCAAAGTTTCGAGACGTTTAACTTGCGCTCGAATTTCGTAAAAATCATATTGTCCCTCGGTTTTTCAATATCGGACTGATTAAAGACACATCAGTTCGTCGTGCATAATTACCAAAAGAAGCGAGGAATTTTGTAATGTGTAACGATACACGTGCTCGGATAATATTCGAACGAAAACTGCGATATGTCGAAGAAATTCGAGAAGTAAAATTATTCCTCGTCTCGTGAGAAAGTTTTCGAAAAGAACACTTCACTTAAAATAGACGTAACAATTTTCTCTCTCTCATCTACACGATTATCATTTCTGTCTGTAATTCATTTTATCGTCTTTTCAAATTGTTCATTTTCACGATATTACATGCGCGTGAGAGAATACCGTAACATGTTTCTTCTTTCTTTTTCTTTTTTCTATCACATTTGAATGGAATCCAACAATTTCCAAACGAACTTCTGTCGAGGAAAGGGTACGTGTATAGTATTTTGAAGACCGCGAAGGAAGGTACGCAACCGGCGGTGGATGCGGTACGACTGTGCGGATCACAGAAACAGAGACGAAGAAATATCGCGTTCGAGTTTACCCGAAATAGGGATGCAGGACTATTCTGGCAAACAGGGTGCAAGTGGCATCTAGCACCCTTTCCGAAGCTTCGCCGACTTATCGATCCGTTTTCTCCGCCGCTAAAATGGTGATACCACTATACCTTCACATAGTAATTCGAGAATTTTTCATAAAACCAGATAAAAATGAAAACTGCCCATACAGAAATTAAACTCTATTAAAATCGAACACGCGTAAATTACTTATAAAAAACATGCTAGAATTAATTTTTAAACCTAGAGAAAATTTAATATATCGATACACCAGAATTTAACGAGTATACATAATCAATTCATTAGTGTTCCTTTTTTTGACGAATTAGAAAATTCTAATATTCTTGAATAATTTAATTGATAAATTAAATATTTTAGCGTCGTTCCATTGCTAAAATAGTGATAAATATCAATTTTGCAATAAACCGTTATCAGATTTAAAACTGAATTTGTTATATTATATTTTTCATGTTGCTTGATTCGAAAATGATGTTTCTTTTACAAGAATTTATCGTGAAATATTCTATAAAATTACTAAACACGTCAAGTTCAACAGCTTGTTACGAAAATTTTCAGTCAGTTGGTAGTTACAGGCACGAGCAGCTTCGTAGCGGCGATCGATCAGATATTAAACGTGCCTAAAATAGTTTGGTTAATTACACAGGGACTTGTCCTCAAGCGATGTGTCATGAACACCCATTGCATAATAATTAAACACGCTATGAGAGATACCAATTTAACGCGTATCACCTCAGGGTGTGGCAAGTAAAGTCAGACCGTTGCTGCATTTCCTTTCAGGGCTGTTTTAAATTGCAAAAGGATAGTTCACAGGAGAAACGTACAATTAACCGAAAAAACATTTCGCAAAAATAATTATCACAAACAACATCTGGAAAGAATAAATCATTTTTATTCAAAACATCGTATTAACAGACAAACTGTAAGCTTTATTCAGTTATTCGTTTATCAAATTAATAAGCAGCTCTATTTCATATACTTCGACAAATTAGATTAGCACTACTGCGAATAACGATTACAACAAGAAAGCATAATTAAATACATCGCGTCGAATACCGACTGTCTTAATATACCACTCTAAGATCCTATTTAACTAAGGATTAATGCCTCCCGGCAACTTTATCTATGATCGCCTGAGTTAAAACTTTCCCGGCGAGATCTTTCGCTAAATTGGTTATCTGATCTCCGAAATTAGGTTTTTTAGTGGTAGGAGGGGGATAATATCCTTGTTGATACCCTCCTGGATATCCTTGTTGATACCCACCTGGATATCCTTGAGGGTAATTTCCTTGAGCTGGATATCCGCTCTGTGGGTAACCTTGAGGATATCTACCCTGGTTATACCCAGGATAATAATTACCGTACTGGTTAGCTTGGTTAGTTTGGCTAGGATACCCAGAATTTTGACTTGGATATCCAGAATTTTGACTTGGATAATTAGTTCGAGTTGCTTGGCCTTGACTCGGATAGCCAGGATTCGCAGAATTGACCGTATTAGCGTTTACCCTTTGCACGCTGTCCTCGTTCGTCGACGAGCTGCTAGGATAACCAGAGCTCGACGGATATCCTCGAGAATTCGAAGAAGGATAAGAGCTGCTAGGATAACCGCTTGATCCTGACGGGTAGCCAGAGCTTCTCGACGGGTATCCAGATTGTGACGGATAACCGGAGCTTCTCGAAGGATATCCTGACTCTGACGGATAACCAGAGCTTCTCGAAGGGTATCCTGACTGTGACGGATAACCAGAAGAGCCTCCTGAAGGATATCCAGACTGTGAAGGGTAACCAGAACTTCTTGAAGGATAACCGGAGGAGCTGCTTGAAGGGTAACCAGAACTGGACAGATAACCAGAGGAGCTTCTCGAGCTGTCTGCAGGATTCGGTCGACTTTCTGAGGATGGATAAGAGCTTCTGGTAGAATCGCTACCAGGATATTCACTTCCTGAAGGATATCTTGACTGAGTGGTCTTGCCTTTGATAGGCGAGCTGTCATCGGGCAAAGAAGATTGCGTTTCGTCGGTGCTCTGCCGTCTCGCTACTATCTTGTTGTCCCCGTCGAACTCTGCGAACATTTCGTTATCTACCTCCTAATTGTTTAGAAATATTTATTTTTCGAACGGTGTCCCATGCCATGCCGAGTCCAACTTAATTGTTACATCACTTTCGCGTTGCTTAGCAAGCAATTATACGATGCCTGTCTTCCTCTGTTTCCATTAGTGTGTTATTAAGCTAACTGTATAATATAGAAATGCCTTGGCAACGTTATTGTTATCGATGTTACTTTTTGGATGATAGAATTTTTGCATTTATATGTATTCTCGTTACACACACTTGTTCCGTTACATTCGAGAAGCTGAACTTGTGCAGCAAATGATTCGATCATGCACTCACCGTTTCTCTCTGTTTGGTTAAAAGTGACGGATAAGGTATAATTATGATCGTGCATGTACTAATTTTAACGAATAATTCACACACACGCACACGCACGTTATTGTTTTTAAACACTCGTACAGGTTTTCGTAATATTAAAGGGCTTAGTGTTAAATTTATCTCACACCTCTTCGCTGATAGTTTCTTATACCTAAAGCTGTTCTACAAAGATAAGAGTACGTTTCTGGAATCGTCGGAATTAAGAAGATCCACAGAGAATGCTGATAGATTGCATATATTTAATACATTTGCTTAATACACAAGAAAGTATTGTAAACGTTTATTAAGTACTACGTATCTGATAACACCTGCATCCAGTAATAATGCGACACAGGTGTATTGTACAACCGTAAGATGGCACTATGATAAGAACCCACAGTTGCTCGTAAACCAATAAGCATAAGAATAAATCGATGAAGCAGTTTCGCGTGCTCCCTTCACACATGTTTCCCGACAACTACGGTTTCTTCTATCTCGAAAGGTAGAAAATCCGATCCCCAAAGCTAAAGCTAAACTAATAAAAAGCAGCGTGACATGTAAAAGATATTAAGTACAGAGCGTTCGTTTAGCCAGAAAATCTCCAAATTCTGTTTCCTTGTTCGTCGACGGACGTGCGGGTATCGTAATAGCCACTTGAACGGCCACGGCTCCTAGGAGTGGTTACACCATGAGACCCATAAATACGATCATTCCCGAACAAACGGTTAAAAATAGAACCACTGCCGATAGTGTTCCTTGATCCCGAGTTACCGCTGACTCTTCCACCAAATCCGTTGGAAGAAGACCTTGGTGGCGGAGTGGGTGGTGGAACTGGCCTAACGTTTCCTGGTCCTCGTGCTGGATATGATGGATATACTGTCAAATCGTAGAGTGGTAGTGAAAAACCACGTCACGTTCGAAAGTGAACTAAACTTGATACATAATGGAACTTTTTCGAAAGTATTTTTTCTGTTTTTTTTTTTTTTAAACAATTAACTTATAAAGTATCCACATAAATTGTTAGTGATTATTAATATATCACATGCTAATGTTAAGAGAAAGTTATCTTGGACACGTTTCTTTTTTCAAGCATGCATCCTGATAACTGTTAATTCGTTCCACTCTTCAATTTGGGTAGCAACGTGTTGCCTGTTAAATGCCCTATTTCTTTTTTTATGGAAGTGTGAACGAGACGATAAATGGTTAATTTTGATATTACAATAACTGAAATTTTAACGTAGTTAATAAGTCGAAAATTTTAGCTGAAATTATATGAAAAAGTATAATAATGTGTAATAAAAAAAATAGAGGCGGATTGGAATGAAGCAAAATTTGTAAAGTAAGCGTAAATGAGAAACTGTTTCTTTAATAAAAGCGTAAAAAGAATGTTAAAAAAAAAAGGGGGAAGAAACGATGACCGATTCGTCGTCATTTAACAACCGTGGCCTACAAAGTTCCACGTTGCATGGTGATGTAGATAAGAGGTGTCAGGGTTCGACACGATAACGAGATCAGTCGATGTTTGCTACGCGTTCGACAAATTAAATCTAAAGCGTGTTTCGGGGCCAACTTGCAGCTTGATTTAATGACAACAGATGACGGGTAGTTAGAGTAAATCTATGAATCTGATAGAAATAGTATATTATATTTATTCCGAGTCAACAGTTCGCACAATGATATCAATTACGTTATCATTGCGTATATTCCTTGATACAGCAATAATTTCATATTATAAATATACATCCATGCAGATAATATATATATGTATATATCGACAATTTTATTAACGCTAAGAGAAATTATCTTTCGGACGGCAAAAATGCTTCGTTTCAAAACGAGAACGTGTTATATCGAAATACCTAGATTGTGCAGCAAAAATCGACAAAATGAAAAATTACGCACGGAGTAGTTCTTTTGTGTTATTCGAATAAATGTACAATATTGATTATCATTTGGTGTGAATTAAACCAGCAATATCAGGTACCAAGTTAATCGACCCATTGCAATCAATGCGCTCGAGGAATCAATCGACTTAAGGTACTTGATGACATTGGATTTCTTACATTTTACTTCTATATGTTCGAAACGTATATATTTCAACTATTTGTGTTATATCAAAGGAATTGAAGTCATCAACTACCCAAGTGAAGTCTTGAATGAATTATATACATCGAATGGAAGAACTTCCATTTCGAAACGTGATTTTAATCAGTCAAGTGCACCTTAATCATCGGACCGCTTTTAAAAATCTTACTTTCTACGACTGAATAATATTTCCTCCGTCTTCCGGTAACTATAAATGCGTTACAAGAAAAAACAATTGCTGTGCTGAAAGACACTTGCAAGGCACGTAATGCGTTCTGCAAAATATTCTGTGGTAACTGTAATTTCACGGGTGATTCTTTTAGAAACCAGAAGAGAACATTCTTTTGAGTATTAGAAAAAATTAGATTAACCTTAGAATTACAACGGTGTATGTGCTTCGTTCGATATTAAACGACGCTAATATTTAACAAGAAAAGATACGAACTTTTTATTTAAAAAAAAGAAACCAAAAGAAATTAGTAAAAAAAACTTGACCCACTTTCCATTGGCAAACTCAATGAAATAAACATGACCAATGAATTCCCTATATACATATAAGTTTCCTAAAGTTTCCCACTTCGAACATGTTAATCAGTGATAATCCACTTGTAACCGACGAAAGTATAACAAATAAATAATCTAAAATAACATCAGTTAAATTAATTCATTTTACCATAAAAATGTTATATTACGAGACTACTCTTATGTAAATACGCGAAACTTCGACCACTGACTTCGCTTTTTTACTTGGTGCGTCTTTTATCTTGCCTGCAATTACACTGGTCTACAAAATTTTCAGAATTTCATTCTTCCGAGTACACTAATCACGAATTAAATTCACCCTACGTACTTCTATTATCGATAAAATAACTGTAAATTCAGTTATCGTTAAACAATACAAAGCGTTATTACACGAAAACTGTGTAGTGGAAAAAGCTCTGATTCGAATTCAAAAATATTCATCACGACAAAAATCATGTCGACCAGTGATCATCGGACGAAACTTAGCGAGAGGTGTATAATCTCTTTTTATCGTTACTACGCTTACAAACATATGCAACATTGCTAACTTCTTCTTATTTCCCAAATGTCGATCGAACAAACAAGAATCTGCAATCGAGCGAAGAGCTAATGAAACGTTTCAAATTCGACACTCATAAGAACGATTTGTTCACGAATGCCATGACAAAGATCGACAAGCAGATAATCGTTAAAGACGGTGACTGCACGAACGCAGAATTCCTACGATGACCGTAGACACTATTGTGATGCATGCGATTCTGATTGGGATAATTTGGGTAAGGATAATTCTGATATCCGGGATATTGCTGTGGATAACCAGGCGGAACTGGATAACCAGCTTGCGCAGGATACGCGGGATAATTGGATTGTCCAGGATACGCGGGTACTGGCATCTTGTTGTGCGTTGGATACGGTGGATATCCCAGGTCTTGTTGCTGTCGATTTCCTTGGTTCGTCGAGGGATAAGGTGGATATCCGCTGTTAGAACCACTGTTAGAACCACTGTTACTAGGATACGGTGGATAACCCAAATTGCTGCCGGAATTCACTTGATGACGATATCCTCCTGCTGGATCAGCAGGAGCTGGGGGTGCATTAGCATTTGCGTAAGGGTTCGAATTGCTAGCTGTGTTGCTGGTCTTATCGTGATCGTCGTCCACGTTGGTCCGATGTCCGTTCACGTAAGAAACGCCCGCTGATTCGTATCCTGAAAAGATCGTCCTCTTCTACGTCGTATTTATTTTTTTTTTTTTTTAGGATGATGCACACCTCGCGAATCGAGGTGCGTGTGTGTTGCGAAAAAAGAAAGGGGAAACCAGAGAAAAAAAGGAAACGCAAAACCATCGACGGAAAATATAAATACACAAGTTTCATTCTAAAACCGGGCAACTTTGGTTATAATTAACTACACACATTCAAGCTGAAAATCCTTTCCACGGGGAAATTGGAGATTTTTAGAGTGACTCGTTTCGAATGGAGTTAGTTGAACGAAGGTGTGCTACTCTCTGCTATCTGTGCTGTTATTTTCATCCGCTGTTACGTATGCAAAAATAATTGGAAAGCGTTAAAGGTAAAACGTGAAGAGCGCCGTGCTGGTGCATGCAATAGCGGTGTTCTGCGATGAGTAGATTTTGTAAAAAAAAAAATAATTAACGGACGTATTTTATAAGTGAAACGCTTTCAGTTGACTTATTTTTTCCTTTTTTTCTTTTTCGAGGTGTTTCGTTCACGTGGGAAATCGAAGATAGGGAATAATTGCGATATTGAGAAATTGGAAAAGTGTTCACATTTTTCACAGCGCAGCTAGGTATAAAGCACATACGTTCGAAGTCAATTTCGTTTTGCAAGTAGAACGATACACTTTTTCTTTCATATCGACAGGATGCTAAAAGTTTATACGTTCGAGAGCAATTTCTTCAAAATGCTGTAACGCTACGTGAGTATACGCGCGTATATACGTTTGCTTGTAGAGGGAGACCATAATGGAAAGGTCGTGTTCGCAAAAGTTCAGGAGAGAAAAAATCTACTGTACAGGTTCTTGGGGTTCGTGACCTCGCGTTACATCCCACTTTACACCTACAAATACGCCTCGAAATTACAACCCTCGGGTCTCGATGTTTATCAGTTCGAAAATTCGATCTTATCAGAAAAATTCTGATACATGCATCCATTTATAGATATTGGAAAAATTGTATTCGAACGTTGCTCTGTTATTCGATAGAATACTTGTACAGTACAAATCCTCCAAAGAACAAGTACTATCAAAATTGTTCAACTAGTTTGCCCAATATACCTTATTAATTGTCGATTAATTTAGAGTTTTATGATAAGGTTAGGTTCGTAAGGAATAGAGTGCGGAGTATTCAAGATCAAGCACACCGGAAGTGTTAATAAAGTGTTCGCGTATTACTGCAATTTACACTCGACTTGATTCGCATCGTTATAAATTAACCGAATCTGTGTTATTACCGCTGAAATCAGGTCCAGTTTCTTCATACGCGAAATTACGGTGGAACATATTTTATTTTAACCAAGTAGGGAATGGTACAAACACAAAAGGTACGGTATCTTTGTATCATATCGAAGCGCTAAAGAGAAGATATAAAAAAATGGAATAGAAAAAAACACTCGTAATAAGAGGAAATATTTGTGAAAACATGCTAGAATGTAATAAATCAAAAAGCTCGGCGTAAAGCTTTGTTTTTGTTGCGGCACAAACAGAGGGAGAGAATTAAAATAGCTTAAAATTTCATTAGCAATATCAAAGAAAATTACGCGAAAAGTCTCCGTACGATTTCTATCGAAAAAAAGAAAATGCCAAAAAAAAACAAAAAAAAAAAAACAAAAAAAAAAAAACAAAAACGACGATTTTAATACTGACAATGCATATAGAATTGCAACGAATCGTTTTCCAGCTAAAACAATTACGACGCTTTGGTAAATTTGCCAATGAAATTTCCGAGTAAATGTAATAGCAACTATTTCTCTTAACTATTGTATGCCTCCGTCAAACCGTGTGATTCTGTTTCATGCATTCTGCTTGTTGATACTCTCAACCATGCTATGCAATTTTCATGCTGGTCAACCGGTGTGCACGCATAATCAATCATATTATCGGCAAATAAGAGACGCAAGAATTTAAACACTCACCTATTGCGGTTGATTTCTTCACGCATGTCGGCACACCATTTTCAGTTTTGCAGTATTCGTTTGCGCCGCACACGGTACTTGCGCAACTAGCCCCTGCGAATTGCAAAGCGTATATATGTATTTGTATTAGCAAATATTTAGCGCGTCTCGATCATTTATATTTTAAATAGACACTGTTCATCCGTCAACTGGCAAATATTTGCATTGTAAGCGAGGATAACCATAAGTGAGATGATCAAATAAAATGAAAGACGGTAGCGTGTGAAGTTATAACTACAACAGCGCATTTTTAAAATTTTTTAGTTCTTCAAATACGAAAATATTTATCGAACACGAGCACGAATGCAATTAACGAATTCTATAATTATTGTGTTAATTGACGTAACTCGTTTCGAATTTAACGTGATATTTATTAGCATCATCGATCATAAAGCACGCAATTTCATATGCGGTTAATACTTACACACAATAGATTAAAATTTAATGAACTCGTAACTGATTGAAGGATAATGGAGCTATCGATAATTGATGCATCGAAATGGGAAAATACTACTGGCATTAAACGACGTTCTAATCAAGACGGAATAAGTTACAACTATGTATCACATTATTAGGGGAAACCGGATTATTCCATATTATTTGTCCAATGTTCATAAACAATTACACGATCCTGTCATAATTAACGTCCACATCGATATTTCACGAATGACATGTATCGGTGAAATATTTTACTAAAATTATACTCGTCGAATAAAACACGATCACACATAAAATCAACCCTTTGCCTTACGATTTTCACGTATTTTTAGCTTTCTGTTGAATCACCCTCAGGTTTACGAATTAAAATAAAAACTACAGCAAAAATAGACATTTATCAAAACTAAGATTCACTTCGGTAATTCGCAAGAAGAATATAACACTTTCGTCTCTCTTCGTCCCCCGTGCGTTCCGTTTACTTTCGATCGGGAGACGAAGTGCGGGAAATATATTTACGAAAGAGCCAAGAAAATTCTTACCGCCTGGATGAGATTTCTCGCAAGTCGGATAACGGCCGCAGTTATTCGGCCGGATAAGGGAACAGGGATCCTCGGCCATCACGCAGACCTCATCCCTTGAACAGCCGATATCGTTGCATGTCCTCCCATACTCTGCGGACAAAAAAGCCAGCCCCCTTGAGAGTTTTCGTTTAGTGGGGAAAGTTCGAGTAATAAGCCATGATCCCGCGATTGGATATGGTTCGTTGAAAGTTCACTCGGAGAAAGGGACGTGTCATAAATGGAATTTATATCGGTGCTTCGTAATACTCGTCGATCAGAATTGGTCATTTGGACAGTTTAATTTCGAGCCCGTGCGAAAAGTGCACGTAAACGATGCGTACTTCCGGTGAAGTATCACCGTTAAATATTTACATGATCGTGGTCTTTATGACCAAGTCCGAACTATATGAAAGTACACCTCTTGGACTTTCGTATGTCATTAATGTTCCTCGACTCAATGTACAGCCTCGCTTGAAGAATTTACAAGTCCTTTGTGGTAACATACTTTTCCGCTACTTGTGCGACGTTTTTACACGGTGGAAGATATTCTCGTGCGTTCGATTGAGTTGTACCGTTTTTCTTTCTTTTGTTTTTTACTGCAAGTCTTAAGAAACGTTTTTGATAAAAAGCAAAGTTTATTTTGTATTTATTTTGGATTCGGAAAAAATTAGGAATTGGGCTTTGTAACGAAAACATAGAAATTAGGCTTCGATTTGGAAAAAATGAGAAATCAGACTTTGAATTTCAAACGAAAGTGAAACGAGAGTATTCCGAATGGCTTCTGACGAGCTGAAATTTTTTCCATTAAGGCTATTCTAAGGGGATTGGAAAAAGTGATAATCGGTAGCAAAGGTGAACGAGAGAGAATTTCCCGCTTAAACTTTCTCAATTTTCTTTTCACATGAAATTATGTCCCCCGATAAAGAATAATGCGTGAAAAAATGACTAGTATAACGAAATAAAAATATTTTTGCCACACGTAAGGCACGACAAAAAGATAATTACCTAAAACGTACCTCGCAGATATTAATCTTGTTTTGAGATCAGTTACGCTCACGTAACCGTCCATGTAATGTGAAACTATTAAAAGGAGCAAGTATACTTACATTTAACTAACTTTAACTCAATATTCCCCATCCCACGCTAAGTTTCGCCCGAAACTTCAAGCAGAAACTGCGTGACTGAGCCTAAAGTAATTAAATTCAGGCGATTCAGCTGTTTAGTGGTTTAAATGTAACTTGATAAACAACCAAATGCTTATCCTTCGTCAATTCTGTAAATCTCCTGCATTCAACAGTCGCGATTAATAATTAAACAACCACGCCTGCGCTACAATGTTCCCAATAGTTAAAAAAAATTACACACACAATCGTGTCGTTAATTATTCTCCTCCATCTAATACTCACAAAAAAGTGAAAAAGCTCACATTTCCGTATTTACTAAATACCGGTTGGAACGAAAGTTTCTTACTCCAGGAATACAATTCCCGTTGCACATTTACCTGACGTTATCCAACCAAGCCTCGCAACGGCGTAACGCCGCTAATCGTAATTCTATTCAAGCACCATAGCGTCATCCCCATATAACCCCATCGATTCTCAATTATCCGCCGGCAAAGGGAAGGAGAAAGCCAGGAAGAAGAGAGAAAGGAGATAGAAAGCGAAGCAGCTGTCGAGTTAACGCCCAGCTTCGTGTTATCCTCGTCTCTGTGTTCGTGTTGGAAAGGCACGAAGAAATGGGATAAAAGGGGCACCAAGGAAGAAAGGAATATTAGAACTAGGCTAATGATCCTCTTTCTAATTGCTCTTAAGCGTTTATCATATTTTCGGATAAAAGGAAGAATGAACGATAGAAATGGGTAGAGACAAATAACGGTAGAATTGTGCGGATAAAAATATGATTTTGGAATAATGGCAAACTATTGTGTCGTTGCAGAAGATCGATCGAGATCGAGCAAACAACGTTTCTGTTATTTTCACGTACAAAGGAAGGATAAACGATAGAAGTGGGTAGAGACAAATAACGGTAGAATTGTGCGGATAAAAATATGATTTTGGAATAATGGCAAACTATTGTGTCGTTGCAGAAGATCGATCGAGATCGAGCTATGGTAATAATAGTGTCATTTTCTACGGTCGTCGATGCAACAGCTGTAATTTAGGCAATGTAATTAATCGTGGCTGTTTAATTAAACGTATCGAGGTTGTGATCGAATAACAGGGATTCTTCTATTTGTTAAACAAACGAAATAAAAGGTATCGTGTAACAGACGTGCGTCTGAATAAAATTGCTTCTTTGCAATGACACGTTACTATGTGATCAGTGTTGGATAATTTTAGTGCTTGTGCAATCAAAACGTCTATCGTTGCGATAAAGGAACAACAGATGAAAATTCACGCAACACAATAACAGTCGTCTATTTTTTGCTAGATAAAATATTTCAAACACATTCGCTGTACACATTTTTCGCGTGGTTAATTTCGAATATTTTTCATTAAATGTTTACGCGCTGCGTTCGTTGGACTGATAAAAAAGTTACCGGCGAAAAATTTTTGCAGTAAAATCCGAAGGGAAATTCGGGGATAATATTTTCAGTGTAACTGCGTGATTTTTTATGAATAGGAGGCTAAATGAAAATATTTCAACTTGAAAACAGGGAATTTTGATTATCCTTGAAATTAGGTGTCGTTGTTGCTTTTCTGGCTATATAGAAAAAAGATTATCAACGAAATAGCAGTGCTGCTAAAAGAACGTAAAATTCATCTACAAAGATGCCTATTTACGACTTCCAGCAGCGTTGCGTGATTACGTAAACTCGCTGCTTAAATGTGATTCTTATATGATAATCGTGGATTACGGAAGGTTTCACCAAGGCATTTAAAAAATAAACAACATTTTCCGGAATTTCCGATAGAAAAAAAGAAACAAGATAATTAAGACGTAACTGTTAAATCGAGAGATTTAAGATCGAACGCACCGATTCTTAAATCTTAGGGTTCCTATCGCGGTTTCCTTTTTCCTTATTTAACAAGATTAAGAAGAGGAAGAGGACAAAGACGACGATTACGAGGAAGGTCGATGTAATTGCATTGGTCGAGTTAGAGATTAAAAACGATCATTTGTTTCCATTAAGTCCACTTAATCCCAATCATACCGAACGATTGGCCATAGCAATTGAATTGTAATACCGCGATTTAAACTAGCTTATAATTTTGCAATCGGTAATTTTGCAATTCGAACAACTATGTATTACGAAAATAGTTTCGTCGTTTATTTTATAATAACGGTTTAATAATAGTTCAATCATTTCTATTACAATAACGGTACAGTTTATTTGACAATAATAATATAAATAAATTACTTCGTGTTTACTTACTGCTGTAAGAGGACGCATCGGGTATCGAAGAGATAAGTAATATTGTCCCCAGTAGGACACCCAGTGTAGAACTGGAAAACATTTTCTGTAACAAAGAAAATTTCATTTTTACAATTAGCATTTATACATAGAGATCGTCTTGTTCCGATAATTTTTATTTTAAATTCAATTATTTCTAATATTTTCTTACGTATTCGTTTTACAAATATTTATTTATAATTACGAAATATTACGGTAGAATGTTGTAGAAACCAATTCGCGTTTAATTTGGAAATAAATATTTATACTGAAAAATATTTGAATACGAATCCCTACCGATCATTAGTAAACTTTAAATAAAATAAATACATGCGTCCATAAATTCGAATAGGTTACGAATAAAGTTTTAACCATAATACCAATATATCGAGGAATTTGGTAAACTGTAGTAAAATAACCGTGGCTGCAGTTTCTTCATCAGTCGAAAAAACGAGAGAAAGGAGAAAGAAATTCCAAATATAGATTCAATCATAGCTTTAAATGAGAAATCAATACGAAAGGTTATGTCAAAGATTTCCGATATCAAACAACGTCGAATAAAACGAAGCGTTTATAAAATGATAATCGTAACATGTAAAACCGACGTGAAACGTCAGAAGATGTTTTCGAAGTTAAGTGAGCAAGGGAATAATTAAATACGATTAAACGAACGTGAATAATAAGAACGAAAGATTACACCGGTTTAAATTTGAGCGCCAATTATGAAGAGTGAACAGATCAAGTGACGTAGTATCCTTTTTCTCGTTTGTCCTTGTCTTACTTACGCTTTCTAACCTCGCTGGTCACTCCAATCCTTCGGCAGAAACGCCTAACCTCAAAATGCACCGAATGTATTCCGTAGCAACAAACGACATACAATATGTACTCTCAATCACCGACTAAGTTGAATTACTAACAATTTAAATCACTAGCACTCAACAAGATTCCTGACACTGAATTTGCAATCATTCAATTGGCTGACCTTGAGACACCATAAAGAAATCGTAAATTGCGTCGTTCCAATGCGTTGCATTGTTTCACAACGCAGACTTTCCTTACGTTATTCGCGAATAATTAGTACGCAAATTCTAATGCAACGATATGGTAATAATGTTAGATTAACGATAAAACGTGAACTTACCACAAAAAATCTCACTCACTATAAGTACAAACGTCTACTCCACTACGTAGTCAGTATAACACTGAACACTGGGTAAAATGTTGCATCGTTACTGACCTGACGTTGCCGTGAGTCGAACAAAGATGGACGACGCAGTTCACACCATCGACAGAGCGAGAAAAATTCCGAAAAAGAGAACCGATACGGCGCGAACGTGACGTAAAGAAGGAAGTAGAATGGCTAGGTTAAGCGCAATTAATCGCTTTAATGACCACAAAAGAGGAAAAAGAATGCGGTCTCTCGAGACAAGCATCATTTTACTTTCGAGAACAATTTCTAAAAGTAATAATGAAATTTTCTGTAATCATAAAACTACTTGGAAAATATAAATTACAAACTTATTAAACTTAGCTTGCAATTTCAGCTCTCAAGATTATACGAGAAACTTGCCCTTAGCGGAAATTGAGGTAATGAAAAATTTTTCTTTGGCGATCGTTCTTTTAGTTGCAAAATATGTATATCGTAAATACTACGAACAGAGATAATAGTACGAAATTCGAGGTTAAAATCGAGTCATCGGACACTGCATTGCTATATTATGACGTCATTATGTCGTTATGACGTTGCAAGAATTTGTCGAAACGAATTCTACAGAAAGAAAATATTTTTGTTCGTTGTTTTTTACATTAAAAAAATGCTCGAGAACGTAGAAAAATTTCTTTAAACGTAATTTACGTAATAAATAAAATAGAATCTCGTTCGTTTTGCAATTCCATCGTTTCTTTTAGTTTTTGCTAAGTTTAAGATCGCACGACGATATAAAACGATCTTATTATGTAACCCAGTGCACATAAAAATGCCATATGCATGGTAGCAGCTCTTAAAAAGTTTATCCCATAACACGTATCATTCAGAGTTTAATACTTCTTTATTCTGCATATTGGAGTGCATCTTTTCAAGTTCTCGTTACATAATAGGAGATATACGAATGCAATCGAAAGAGATATTAAAAATGTTCTTATCTCTGTGAGTATTAAACAAGTTAGCAATGGATCAAAGTCTGCGATGTGTAGTTCATTCTCCTATTCGATCAACATATCGATGTGAACATTATAAATTATCTATCGAATTGAAATTAAAATCGAGAAATTATTTAAATTAATCTTGAATTTTCAGCTTGCCGTTTATTTCTCAGAAGGACAGATCGTAATAACTTTTTTTTTTTCATCAAGTCCTCTGCATTTTTCTCTCTTTGTCTGTTGGTCTATCACTTCGCCCTCGTGATTTCATATGCATGCTACAAAGAAAAGCCTTATGGACGAATATTCGCAAACATCTCACGCGTCAGAACGTGTTTGTCTCCGGGGATAATCCTTGAGTACTGTATTATCTTTTCAGTCATACTTTACATCGTACGGTAAATGAAAACATTAAAATTAATAATCTTTTTAATGTTTGATTTCTTCGTATATTTGACTTGTTTGATCTACTGGTGCCGTCAATAATCCGTTCTTCGCTTCTATTAATATTTCATGGCACAATTATAGCAGCAAAGTTCTTAACAGGTAAAACGGAAAAGTTAAAAAAATATTATTAAGAGAGTTGTTAAGCGACGACCATCAGAGTTAATAAAATCAAATGTACAATAATTTGAAATGTTCAAGTCTCTTTCTTTTTTTATGCAATCAAACAAAACTTGCTATTCTCTTTTTACGATAATTATTAAAATAGAAAGTTATACTTTAGAATTATTTTTATTTCAAGAATTTTTGTCAGTGATAAATATTTTGATTTAGAACGAAGCCTATTTCCATTTTTTGTTATTCACCTCCAATTCTAATTCAACGACTGCAAATCAAAGTGATCGTATAGGACTAGACAATCACGAACCCAATTTCTTTTTCAATTGGAATAAAAAAGAAATAAAAAATTTATCAACTTTCATCGCTTTCCAATTGTACAAGTTTGCGAGCAACAATTCCAGAGAAAAACGGTTTATGTGAACGTTTCACCCCTCTGTCCACTGCATTTCCAAACTCGTCCCTACAGTTTCCGCAGTCACGTCTACTGAGAAATCTCATCGACAAGGAGTTCCATGAAACCTTCACGTGTCGGAACGTTTCATCCTTGTAGAAGATCCCCCCCCTGTGTTAGTCCGAGCTTTTCGTGTTCTCAATAGCAGGATGTTCGATCTGGAGACTGCGCAAAGATCCTCTGGTTCGACACTGGGGATAGAAACCTTGGGATGGAGGGAATCTGGGGGAACTTTCGTAGAAATGCTTTTCACAGGATGAACGCTTGGTGGTGGTTACTCTCACAGTCACGCGCACTGAGGTCGTTTCCCTTACCCCTTTTTTCTTTCCAATTGTATATACAAGCTCACGCATGCAGCTAAAATACATCATCTCTGTCTTTTTTCTTTTTTTTCTTTTTTCATTGTTTCCTTTCAACTCCTACACATTGGCTTACTATACACGCTCTCCGTTTCTATTCTTCCGTCCAATAGATGTCATATCTCAGACCGTGCTACGTATCATCTGTACTCACTCACGTGAATGCATAAGAACTATGAGCTCTTATCTCCCTTCTCCCATTCGCCAATTCTTGCTAAAAAAAGAAAATTACCAACGGCATTCAGAATACCCTTTGTGTCTCGATCTTCCTTTCAATGCATACCCTATCTTTTAAAACTTCGTCACCCCTCTTGCATCCGAATAGACACTCCTCGTTATCGTTATACCTCGAGCTTCGTTATATTCCAAGAAGCCATACAAACACTTCTACGTCTACAAGTTAATATCAATTCCCATAGGATTCTCTCACAAGTTCCGGCACACTATATACATATTCTGCTACTATTGTCGCAACACTTTCGCACGCTTGCGAACAATCGTTCGCACAAATATGTACAGATTCTCTTTCTATCCTCGTGTCGTTGCCGTGGAAAGTGCCACCGAAATCCAGCATCACCCTCTTATCTTTCGCACTTGTTCTTCCTGATACTGGTGCGTTTCTCCCGCGTGTATGCGCGCGCGTCTCACCGCGCTTTCGAGAGGGTGCTGCGCGGTCGACGGGCGTCGTCTGGTAGTCGAATTTGTCGCTTCCTCCAGGCAGGTGCGCTCGTTCCCCCGCGGTACGAACTGACGCTCTTTTCCACCGTGATCCTTTAACAGCCTCTGGGAGGAACGTTGCTCGAGGGGGTGGGGGGTGTGCAACCCGTTTTCTTCCTCGGTCGAGCTTTCAGTGTTGCTTCTCGGTGCACGAGTTCGCGTTAACGATCGAGGAAGCGCGCTACTACGAGTGTCGCAGCGCCGTGTGGACTCTGCTGCAGTCTGTGATCGTGGAGGGTACTGAGAGAGCGAAGGGGTGAGAGAAAAGGGATGATCGTAGGTGCGCGCGCGAGAGAATATCTTATACGGCTCCTCGTGAAGAGACTCCTTCCTGTGGAAGGAACCGAGGACAG